TAGCCTTCATTGCTGGGGGTTAAGAGTTTAAAAATAGGGAAATCTTGTTACACCTACAGGGTGCTGATGAGCTGGAGAACTCAGTGCAGTTTTGATCCCTGTACTTAAAAAAGGACATACTGCCACTGGAGGCAAGTCAAAAGAGATTCACCATGCTGATTTCTCAGATGAAGAAGTTGACTAATGAAAAATAGTTTGACAGATTACGTCATTATTCATCAGAGTTTAGAAGATTTTGGGGAGATCTTACTGAAACGTACGAGATTCAAAGAATAGAAGATGTACACAGTTACAGAATAAGGGAACACTAATTTAAAACTGATCCAGGCATTTCTTCTCTCAGAGGGTAGCAAATGTCTGGAATTTTATTTTCAGATCACAAATTATTTAAAAAGGAGGTAGATGGATTTTTGAAATGTTGGGGACTTGAGGGCTATGATGAACTGGCATGAAAGTGCAGTTGGTACCTGGGGCAGATCAGCCATAAACTTGTTGAATAGGGGACAGGCTCGAACCAAATGGCCTACTTCTGCTCCTAATGTCCATATTAAATCCTTATCAGCTTGGCTGCAGTTTGAAACCATAGCAGCAAGCTATTGGAAAATAAGAATATTTTCTGATGTCTTAAACCACTGTGTAGGAGTAACAGGGTGGCCCGTGCTTTAGCTGTAGAATTGAGAATCATAAGGTCAGAAATGGGAAAGTCTCTTGGGCAAAAGTTATTGGAAGGACCCTAATTAAACCTGCATCTTAGCGAATAGCTGGAATATGGAAGAGAAATCAGTGAATTCTAGAGAACCATGATATACCTTTTGCGTTGGTATCACTGTATTAAGAAAAGTTAGTTTCTAGTTCTAGCACACTGGATACGAAAACAGCATGTCAGCTCAAGCATCAGCCTTACTCAGGAATGCAGATTGTACTTATCACAGCCTAAATTTGCTCTTGTTTACTGTGTTAAATCAGCAGAACCAATTTGAACAAAACACACCTTGCTGGAACAATTGAAACTTAGAGATGCTAGCCACAATCTTGAATTTTATTTACACATTATTATGAATCAGACCATCTCCATTCTACATGTTAAAGATTATAACAATCTGTTTTACCTGTCTTTGATTTCACATAACTATAAACTAGCAACTTTAACAACTGAAGTAAGGAATATTGATTTTAAGATGGTCCTGTGAAGTACTGTATTATTTCGGGCTGATACTAAGCAGTTTTTGCTCCAAACTACTGCAATGCATTATTAAAACATGCAGAGGCTATTTTCTTAGGCCAGTAAAATTCCACTCAAATATGACATTTCTGGTCAGACATTTTCTTGCTTCATCTCCTTCTTTGTTGCTGAGGTTATGGCTGCCTTTCCTGTTCCATTAGCCAACTTTTCATCTGTATTTGAGCATATTTATTATCTCTACATAAAATTCAAGTATTAACATTTTTTGCAGAAAAACTGAATATGGAAGTGAAAACAAAAACAAAAACAAAAAGAAAAAAGTGCTGGAAATAAAAATCTACTTCCTTCAGCACTTGAAAACTGGACACACTTATTGAAAGATGGAGTTAATTTATAGTCTGGCTTGCTCAGTTGGTGGATAATGGGATTCTTAATGCAAGGTCAACTCCCACATTAGGTAATTATTTTTCCAATGAGAGTGAAGTAATCAGATGCAAGTTTTCAGAACTTTAGAAGAAGGTGATCACACTGAAAAATCAGAAATGTGTAACGAAACATGACGCATACTTTCTGGGGCTATCTCCTATTCTTATCCCAAAGCAGCAGTTAACGGGAAATCCCCGCTTTCTGCCCTATGCAGAACTCTTGACGCTCCACTTGGCAACCAAGATCATCCGGGGCAGCTTTTAACAGGTCCTCACAGTCTTAGTGTGTGCTCTCATTGAAATATTCAAGATAATGTAAAGTGCTTGACAAGGTAGAGATTGAAAGACAGGAACCAAGAAGGTCTGCAGCACCTGGTATGCCCTCACATCCATCATAAACACATGTGAGGATTCTCTACCGGGAAACATTAAGGCTGTTTGATGAGAATAATCAGGAGTTCCAGGAGCCACTAAATCACAAGTGCAAGGTGTTCCTCAACTGGAAACACCACCAGCACTCGAAGGAAATGTTGCAGGTACACGAACAAATGAAGGCTGACGTCCAACAAAAACCATGATCTAAAGAACAGATGGTGGTTGGAAAGAGTGCAATAAATCCAGAAACTCAGTGAAAGCCTTGCGTGTGTAGATTCTTCAGTGAAGATCATCTAAAGGCCAAGCACGCAAAGACCTACCCCACTGTGAATGCCAGACAAAGTGGTGGTCATCAAAGATAGGGACGCAAGTCAGCACTCTTTAGAAGGAGCACTTCAAGAGTCTCAACCAAGATTCATGCCCTTGACCACATGCTACACATGACCACTCAGCACAACTCCAGCCTGGTCAGAAAGGCCATCTAACAGCTGCAAACCAACAAGGCCACCAGTACCAAAAAACAATAGAAATACACTCTCAGTAAGAATACAGATCACATTTCCATCACCTGGAAACAGGAAGGCATGGTGGATCTTCAAGACCTCATAATTGTGGTCAGCTTCAAGAAACAAGATAAGACCAATTGTGATAACCACAAAAGGATCTCCCTGCTGTACACAAGAGGTAATGTTCCCTCTAAGCAGTATGGTTGCACAGCTATTCAGAGGGTCCACGCATGCTGATCAGAAGTCTGTAAAGTGGCAAGAAGCAGAATGAAAGTGGGCCACAGGGAAAGTCGTTGCAAATATTCTTCTTAATCTCCTTTTCCCAGTAAATGAAGTGCTCCTACTGGAGACAAAATGAAGATTCTGTCCAGTAAGATGGAGTGTGAGCATGCTCTTCACAGCAGGTTCAGACAGCAGGAAGCAGTAACAACTGTAAACATAGCCCTCTTTAGCCCCTTACAGCCTTTCAATCTGTCAACTAGGAGGAATTACAGAGTGTTCTCTTCAAATTTGGCTGCTGACAAAAAATTGTCACCATTCTTCGCTTGCTACACAACAATACACAAGCCATGATCCTTACTAATGGACCCACCACAGATCCAACACGGGTGCAAATTTGGGTCAAGTAAGACTGTCACTGCACCAATGCTATTCTCCATCTTCCTCGTCGCAACACTCCATCCCATATCCACCAGTGGTTCCTACCAGAGTGGAGTTTCTCAATAGGATGAACGATACAGTGTTTAACCTACATTGCTCCCAGTCTAGAACCGCGATCACCCCAACCTTTAGCATTGAGATGCAGTACACTGGCAATGTTTGCACATATATACACTCAAGAGGCTAAGCTCGAAACCATCAACACATTCAATCAGGCACAGGAGAGAATGGGCCGTACGCTAGACATCGAGGAGTCAAAGGTTCTCTACCAGCTTGCACCCACTACTCAAAGCTGTGCCCCAATGATCAAGGTTCACAGCAAGCCACTGGACAAAATACATCAACTTTCACACTGTAGGATCCTCCTTTTAACTAAGGTAGGCGTTGACAATGAAAGTCAACATTGGTTCTAATGTGCCAGCGAAGCCTTTTCAGTGTAAGCAATAGAGTGTCTGATGTCAAAGACCACAAACCCAGTACTAAACTCATGGTCTACAGGGCATTAATGCTATCTGCCATTCTGTACACATCAGAGATATGGGCAATGTACAGCAGATTTCTCAGATCTGGAGAAAAATAGTGATGCCTTTTCAAAATCCTACAAATCCACGGCAGGTTAGGTACTCCAATATCAGTATTCCCTCTCAACCCGACATTGAGGCTCTAGCTACTATCAATTAGCCATGCTCGACAGGCAACATCATCTGCATGCCTAACACAGGACTTCTAAAACAAGTTCTCTGCTTGCAGTTTTGTCCCAGTGAGCAGTTACCAGCAAGGCTCAGAAAATACTTCAACAGCATTTCCGAAAAAAAAAATGCAACACCCCTACCAACTCATGGGAATGTCATCTTGGACTCTCAAACTGGGGAAAAAGAACTCGCAGAAGTTCCAACGATCTTCAGCATCTTCAACAGGCCCACATGGAAGCCATGCACTATGTGCAGATCCAGCACTGAACTGTTTAGTCACCTCAGGGACCACAATACTGGAACAGAACAAAGCCATCTCCTGTCTCAAGGGAGTGCCTAAGAAGAGGAGGAGATACTGAGAGGTCGTTCCCTGCACTAAGGAATCTTAATTAAGAAAGTGCAATCCAGTAAAAAATGACAATTACTTAAGACAAAGATGAGGAAGAATTTCTTCTTTCGAGGACTTTAATTTTTTGAATTCTCTGCCTCAGGGACGTGCCAGCCATGATCATATTCAATTGCAGAGGAGACTCGACAGGTCATATGGTCTACTCCTGCTTTGTATTTCTTATGTTTTAGGGAGAGGTCATTCTGTTTTATTGCCTGTGATGAAGAAAACATTTAAACTACTTGTCTTTCCTGATGTTGACAGATTATGATGTATTTTAGAGATTTGCTGTTTTTATTTAAGCTTCATGTTACTTCTTGATGAATGACAGGTTAACACAGCAATTTAAATGAAAGTGTTCATCAGTCAGCAAGTAACTTTATCATTTCTTACAGCACAATGATTCAAATTAATAGAAAATGTAGCTTAAATGAAAACACAGGAACAAAGAAATTTTACATAAAGGTATTGAAAGTTTTTTTTTCCCCCCAGTTGTTAACAAGATAATTTAAAGCTTTTTTTCATTATAATACATACAGTTTACACATGTGGTGATGGGTTTGCTTGGATTCATGCAATATTCTACAATTTTGTTGCATGATTGTTAGATCTTATCATTCAGACAAAGTAAGAGTACTAAAAAATGAATTATTGGCAGTATCAGACAGCACACACCTCACTAAATAATTATCAAATTACACTTGGGAACAAACTGCATTAAAAAACTTGCCAATTTCATTAAACATTTCTCTTGGACAGTTAGGTGCTCACCTCTGAATTCCTGCCAGTAGTTCTTTTACTGCAGGCACCAATCTTTGCAGGCTCTGAAATGCTTCCTCAGGAAGTGGCAGCTTGCTGTCAGTTACAACAGCTAATGGGTTGTGAGGAAGGTTGAAGGTTGCAAAAATTAATGAGCTGGTGAAAAAAAAAAAGCAATCTCTCAATCTCATGAACGGTCATACAAGATCTAAGCAAAAATGTTGATTTACTTTATATGAATATGAAAGATTAATATTTTATTTATATGATTGCTCACACAAGTTAATGAAAGCCCTCACTGTTGGTGAGTAAGCAGATTGTGATTTCTGGGAATTTCAATTTGGTAGTTTGAAGTCTGTCAGTCATTCAGTAAGTACCATTAATAGTTGGCTTATATTTCAAAATTTTAACTTTATAAGATAACATAACATTGCCTTTGTCAGCTCAAAGCCCAAGTAACAGTTCATTCAGTTTCTCCTGTCCAGTCAAAATGCTTACATCATAGCAGCATACAGAGTAAAGTTATTGCTTTGGGAAACAGCCAAGAATATGCTTAAATCAAAATTCCACACTGTTTTGACTAACACTTACTTATATGTTCATCAGTACACAATACCTTTTTACCTGTATTTGTTTATTATATTCCACACATTCTCAAAGGTAGCCCAGATTTGTTGAATTCTGTTCACATTTTGAGAGTTATCCATCTCTGGCGTGGAGCATCCACTGAATGGATAGAGAGTCACATTTCTTCCCGTATCAGGATTTAAAGGTGGCGCAACTGAAATTTCCAACTTTTCAGAAGACTGTTGTGACTTTTTTGATGATTTTGAAGTTAGTTCACTTTTGCTGCAATGCTTCACAACATGGAGAAAGAAAAATGATTTCTAACCTTAGATCCCAAATATTTACACAATTTTTACTATCTTCTTTTTGAACTTCTTCCCTTCATGAGGGAAGGTACGGACTCTTTTGCCCATTTGTGGTAACTCACTTTCAATTCATAGCCTGACAAGAGAGTCCACACCTCCCCATTCCAACACCCCTCCTACTCACTTCAGAAACATCCTTCCATGGAGCACTTTGTCCCCATTCATTTCATGTATCATATGCTTCCTTTGCTTGGGGATTTGATGCTGTGTGCACCAATTGCTGACAATGCAAAACTATTAGATCAGGTATTTGTATCCAGTGGAATATCTCTTCATAAAGCAGACTAAAGAAGTTAGGGTTAACAATTCAAACATACAAAAAAAAAGCCAGCTGGCCCATTCCACATACTGGAATCTACTCACACCATTCATTCAATCCCTCACCCTCACATCAATGCAATCACATGAAAGTAGCTAGCAAACAAACAAGGTAAAAATCCTACATGAAAAATCACTGAGCAGAGGGTGTTGACTATAATGGGAAACTCCAGAAATGTTCAGACTGAATGGATGCCCCATTCCAATATGACTCTGTCTGTCACTGGAATAGCCCCAGTCTAAAATTTCACTAATTTTACTGCCGTTCTAAGCGATTCCTGCTATTGTCTTCATCCACAACAGTATGAACTTAACATAACATCTGTCCCAATATTACAAGAAGGCAATTACAAAGTATGAGGTACCTCAGAAATCTTTTCAAGCAATTCATCTATGACAACCAAGGTGCGTGGGAGAATGCCACCGTAACCTGATCTTGAGTTGAAGGCTCGTATTAGTTTTTGGGACTCCAGCAACATCCAGGTAAGAGTAAAATGATTATACTGTGATCTTTTACCTAGATGGTTAAAAAAAAAGTATTAGGTTAAAGACAGTAAAACAAATAGTCCTTCAAAACAAATGTTAGCCCTGGGCTTTTGATTATAGGGAGAGATAGATCTACAGGTACTTTTGTAACATTGTGTCAATGAATGAACCTTTACAAAATGGCTGTTTCATCTATTGTGTGAGCCCCTTGTCAAGTTTAGACTGCAAAGGCTGCGACTATTTAAACAGGATGTAGTGAACTCCACTTGGGATTTACATAGAAGGTGTTACTGACATTCTGCCCTATTGTTGGCAACAAGGGAGATCAGATTGCAAAAAAACTGGCATCTATTAAATGAATTCACTAATGCAATGCAAAAAAGAATGACAATAGCAACCTTCAAAATATTTCTGCATTTGTTTCTTTTTTGGTTTTTCAGCATCTGGGCAACAGTCTTACAAGCAACAAACCAGTAGCTCAAAACTTTGAGATTTAATGCTAGAATCATATTATCATTGAATCCCTTCAGAGCAGATAGAGGCCAATTGGCCCATTGAGCCTACACCTTGCCACCAAACAGCATTCCACCCTAATATTTACCCTAACTAACCCACCTATCAACTGCAACCCTGGGCACTAAGGGGCAATTTAGCATGGCTAATCCGCACAGACAGACAGTCACCCAAGGCTGGACTCGAACGCAGGTCCCAAACACTGTGAGGCAACAGTGCTAATGACTGAGCCACTGTGCTGCCCTTTAACGCAATTAAATAATAATGTACATTTAAAATTGTGAAGATGTTTACTGCTTTATTTGTCTAAATGACACATTCATAAAAGCCCATCAGTAAAATGTAAAACAAAGACAAATTGTACAAATATATAGATTTAATCATTTCCCATTTACAACTAACTTATTGGTTGCCTTTGTTAACGGTAAAATTAAACACCAACAAAATGTTGCAGCCCAATCTTCAATTTTACCTTCCAATACTTTCTAATTTGTATTTGAATGACGTTTGTTAATATAGAATTCTAAAACAAATAATTACCTGTAATATTTTGTTGAAAAATGTTGTGGCAGGGGGAAACATTATACTTTCAAGAAAGTGGGATGAAAAATAATCATTTTTATTTCCACATCTTTTCTTCCCAGTTTTTTGCTTATATTTTCTTTAGCCCTTCCAGACTTCTCTTCCCTACTATGCCTCCTTTCACTTTGTCCTCTCAAACCTCTATCCAAACCATCAGTACTCCTTAAACAATCCTGTCTTGCCACCAGAACAGACAGGACTCCCCTCGAATATCTTCAGAAGAGCTCAGTGAGACACTCAATGTGGCTCATTAAAGACAACAACCTCAACACAGCCACCGAGTGTTAATCTTGCCCAACTCCTCAACCGACTCACTTTTCCCATTGCTAACGTTGTGGAATCAGCCACTGGATCAGTTCTCACTACTACTGTCTCAATTTACAAACACATCAATTAGAAGCAGGAGGAGTCTAAATGGTGCTTTGCATCTCCTCCACCATTTAGTAAGATCGTGAGTGATCTGATAGTAGTCTCAACTCCACTTTCCCAGCTATCACAACACTATCGGTAAGAGCGACCACTGCACAATCCTTGTGGAGACAAAGTCCCACCTTCACATTGAGAACAGCCTCCATTGTGTTCTATGGCACTATCACCGTGCTAAATGGGACAGGCTTCAAACAGATCTCGCAAATCATGACTGGGCGTCCAAGAGGCACTGTGTGCCATCAACAGAACAGAACTGTATTCCAGCACAATCTAACCCCATAGCCCGGCATATCCTCCACTCAACAATTACCATCAAGCCAGAGGATCAACCCTGGTTCAATGGAGAGCGCAGGAGGGCACGCCAGGAGCAGCACCAAGCATATCTGAAGATGAGGTGTCAACCTGGTGAAGCCACCTATCAGGAAGGCTTGCATGCCAAACATCACAAGCAGCAAGTGATAGACAGAGCTAAGCAATCCCACAACCAATGTATCAGATTTAAGCTCTGCAGTCCTGCCATATCCAGTTGAGACGATTAAACAACCTACTGGAGGAGGATGCTCCACTAATATCCCCATCCTCAGTGATGGAAGAGCCCAGCACATCTGTGCAAAAGACAAGGCTGAAGTGCCAAGTGGAAGATCCAAGTCGGCCTCCTCCAGTGGTCCCCAGCATTACAGATACTAGTCTTCAGCCATGTGATATCAAGAAATGGTTGAAGACACAGGATATTGCAAAAACTATTGGCCCTGACAACATTCTGGTATTAGCACAGGTAGTTCTGCTATAACACGTGTTTCGTTAATGTAAATTGGCTGCAACGCGATTGATGAACTGTGGACGCTGTTTGGATAATGCGAACTTTCTGCTGTAAAGATATAGCGATTTCCCTATAACACCATTTTCTATAGCGCAAGGTCCCCCAAAAACGCAACTATCACATTATAGGAGAAATACCTGTACTGAAGACTTGAGCTCGAGAACTTGCTGCTCCCCTAGTCAAGCTGTTCCAGTACAGTTATGACACTGGCATCTATCTGACAATGTGGAAAATTGCCCAAGTGTGTCCTGTACATAAAAAGATGGACAAATCCATCCCAGCCAATTACTGCCCCATCAGTCCACTCTCAGTAAAGTGATGGAAGGTGGCCTCAACAGTGATACCAAGCAGCAACTGCTCAGCAATAACCTGCTCAGTAATGCCCAGTTTGGGATCCACCAGGGCCACTCAGCTCCTGACCTCATTACAGCCTTGGTTCAAACATGGACAAAAGAGCTCAGTTCCAGAGATGAGGGGAGAGTGATAGCCCTTGACATCAAGGCTGTATTCGACCGAATGTGGCATCAAGGAGCCCTAGCAAAACTGGAATCAATGGGTATTGGGGGCAAACTCTCTAGTGGTTAGAGTCATAGCTGACACATAGGAAGATAGAGGTGGTCATTCAAAGTCAGTCATCTCAGCTGCAGAACATCTCTCGAGGAGTTCTTCAGGGTAGTGTCCTAGGCCCAACCATCTTCAGCTTCTTCATCAATGACCTTTCCTCCTTCATAAGATCAGAAGTGGGAATGTCCACCAACGATTGCACAATGTTCAGCATATTCGCGACTCCTCAGATACTGAAGCAGTCCATGTTCAAATGCGACAAGATCCAGACAACATTCAGGCCTGGGCTGCCAAATGGCAAGTAACATTCGTGCCACACAGATGCCAGGCTCTGACCAACACCAATAAGAGACAATCTAACCACCAACCCTTGTCATTCAAAGATGTCACAATCACTGAATCCCCCACTCGCAATATCCTGGGGGTTATCATTGACCAGAAACTCAACTGGACTCACCACATAAACAGTGGCTACAACAGCATCAGAGACTAGGAATACTGCAGTGAGAAACTCACCTCCTGACTCCTCAAACCCTGTGCACCATCCACAAGGCACAAGACAGGAATGTGATGGAATACTCCCCACTTGCCTGGATAAGTGCAACTTCAATAACACTCAAGAAGCTTGACACCATCCAGGACAAAGCAGCCCATTTGATTGGCACTACATCTACAAGCATCCACTCTCTCCACCACTGACGCCAAGTAGCAGCAGCATATACTATTTACAAGATGCACTGCAGAAATTCACCAAAGAATCTTAGACAGCACCTTCCAACCCACAACCACTTCCATCTAGAAGGACAAGGGCAGCAGATATAAGGGTGCATCACCACCTTCAAGTTCCCCTGCAAGCCACTCACCATCCTGACTTGGAAATATATCGCCGTTCCTTCACTGTTGCTGGGTCAATATCCTGGAATTGCCTCCCTAAAGGCATTGTGGGTCAACCCACAGCAGGTGGACTGCAGCAGTTCACCACCACCTTCTCAAGGGCAATTAGGGATCAGCAATAAATGCTGGCCAGCCAGCGACACCCATGTCCCAGAAATGAATAAATAATTTTCTTTTAAATCCCATATCATCTTTCTAGTGAAGAATTTATAAAACTCTGCCTTGAAAATATTCAATGGCTCTGCCTCACCATTCTCTGGGGAAAAGAATTCCAAAGATGCTCAACCCTCTGAAAAGGAAAAATTCTTATTTCTGTCTTAAATGGGAAAGCCCTAATTTTTAACAGTGTCCCCCAGCTCCAGACCCTCCCACAAGAGGGAACATTCTTTCGATGTCCCTCATGTCCCATCAGGATCTTAGGAACATATGTATAGGCATAGGCTATTCAGACCCTCAAGCCTGTTCTGCCATTCAATAGCATCATGGCTGATCTGTGCCCTAGCTCCATATACGTGCCCTTGGCCCACATACCTTAATACCTATCATTTCAGATTTGAAATGAACAACTGATCCAGCATCCACTACTGTTTGTGGAAGACCGTTTCAAATATCTGTCATCCTTTGTGAGTAAAAGTGCTTTCTACCATCTCTCCCAAACGGTTTGGCCTATTTTCTAGACTATGCCCCCTAATTTTAGGATCCCCAACCAGTGAAAATAGTTAATTTACCCTGTCTTTTGTTGTTAATATCTTGAAGACTTCCATCAGATCACCTTTCAATCTTCTAAATTCTGAGAAAATAGACCTAATTTCTTTTAATCTCTCCTCATAACCCGAGGTCTAGGTAACATTTTTGTAAACCTACATTGTACTCCCTCTGTTACGGCAGTACACAGTGGCTGAAAGTGGTTCTCAGTTGATGTAAAATGGCTGAGGATTTTTTTAGCTGAAACAGCAGCTTCCATAGTCTGCTGTTTGAAGTTAAACTATAAGATTGCGTAATTAGCTGCCTTCATAGAACACGTATATCCAAAGTAGCTAGATTAAGGTAACACACAAAGGGTTTTGTGAAATATATGCAACGGGCCCTGTGGAACAGCTACATGGAAACATCACCACCTCAAGTTCCCCTTCAAGCCACTTACCATCCTGACTTGGAAATATATCGTAGAAATATAAAGTAGATGTAGCTGCTTGTGTAAAGATAGTTAGGTAGGTACAGTACTGCCT